CATTTCATTGAAGGTGATACTGATTCATCTTATTGGGCAATCGCTGGCGACCCAAATCTTCCTAACACTCAAGCATTTCAAGCAATTGTAACCGATAAAAAATTTTATGATAAAAACATTTACAAATTCGCACCTTTTGATTTCTTTTGTTTTAATGAGAAATTTAAACCTAAATTAAAGAATAAAGCTGAAGAAAAAGCACATGAGAAGAAGTTATTGGGTTTAGCAATTGAGAAACAAGGTGATAACATGGTTGCTTTATGTCCTAAGTGTTATACTTCATTCAACGGTTCAATTGATGGAAGTGATTTTAAAAAGATTGCACAAAAAATGAAAGGGTGTTAGTTTACGACAAAATAAACAATTAACACCTAAAAATTATTTGGATATAATAAATGATAAAGTGATATTTGATGGTCAGAATATTAATTTACAACTTAAAAACGGGTCAATGACTCGCTTAACAATCGGTAAGACTGCATTAACAGGAGCACACACTAAGGCTGTATGTTGTGAAAATGGATGTTGTATGCCATTTATTTAATAAATGCCACAGAAGAGACAAAAGGAACCGTTAATAATGGTTTTGATACTATGATTCAAAGAGGTGGGCACCCTTAAAACATTTATTTTATTTTTATATAAATGGATAACACAGATTTAAAAATTTAATTGATGATTTAGTACTTAATCAAAATTTTCTTAATTATTATGAATTAAAATCATATCTCCAAAAATGATAACAATATAACGGGTGATGATATGGATATTATTATCGTATTATAAAAATGAAGTTTTGAAATATCATGATAAAATAATTTCTAAAATTAAAGACAAAATTAAAAATAATGAATATTCAAAGGGAAAAAGTAAATCACAACTTAAACAATTGAAAGATTTCAAAAATAAAGTATTAACAGAAGAAGATATTGATGAATTATATAAATTTATATAATCCTGAGCCGCAAAAACAAAGGAACAAAAACAAAAGGTGCAAAACGCCCAGGTCCTTCAGACCATAAATGAAGCACAAGCTTTAATTTATGATTCATTAGTTAAACCATATTCAGCCCGACTTTTAAATGAAGATCAACTTTTGGAATTCATCCTTCAACATAAACTCGAAGCGGGAAAGTATATCAAACCTTTATATACAGCATATTTAAAACAAATGAATAGAATACATCCAGAATTAATGAAGGGGAATGAATTCCAAAATCATCAAAATCAAAGCAGATAAAATTAAACCACCAAAACCCCAACGACAGTACCCTCCTCCTTCAGTTAATCCTTCATCATTCACTTTATTATATCCATTTCAAACATTAAAGAAGCAAAAAGATTTTAAAAAGGATTTCAAATATTAAATAAACCAATTGACCCAAAAATTCAACCGTTAAAGGAAAAATTTAGTCGCCCTTCATTTGCACCATATCCATATTCATACGAAATCGATCATTTAGAATATTCAAGAGGAAACGTTACTTATTTATTTGCCATTAACATTAACACCAGATATTTATATTGCATTCCGGTGAAAGGGAAAACAGAACAGGAAACAAGAAGAGCTATTCAATACTTACTAGATCATGAAAGAGTAGATAATATAAGGGGTGATGGTGATAAAGGATTTCAGGCAGCTATGACTCATTATTTCCCACAAATTAATTTTTACTTTCATCCTCTCCATATACGTTTCATAATAAAATAGTTGATGCGGTAATGAGAACTCTTAGAGATGCGTTAGGGGTTAACGGTCAGATATACTGGGATGGAAATCATGACTCCATCATACAAGTTAGTATATTATTACAATAATACATGGCATAGAACAATAAACATGAAACCGTGGAAATGAAAAATGATATTTCAAAAGAATGGGAATATATTAGAAAGCAAATGGAAAGGTTGAATGATGTTAAACGTGAACAAATTAATTCAGGGCTCATGAATTTTAAACAAGGAAATAAAGTTTTAATTCATCTCGATTATGGAAAAACTGATAAATTAATGACAAAAAGAAGACGAAGATTTGACACAATAGCTGAATTTGTTAGATATATTAACGGCAATGCATTAGTTGAAGTTGACAATAAATTAATAGAAATTCCGATTTATTTTATTACTCCATTATATTTAAATAATATTTAATTTTTTTATTTCGTAAGAAATGAGTAACAACGAAGCAGTCAAGAGTCCAGACGATGAATATAAAAAGAAACTAAACAGAATTAAATCAAAAATATGCTATTACAAAAAGAAGCCACAATGTGGTGGGGTTGAAAACGATAAAGAGAGGAAAGAAATAATCGAAAAATTAGAAACTTATCGTTCAATCCTTAAACTGAGTGAAGCAAAAATAAAAGAATTTAATAGAATAAATAAATTGATTGGAAGAGATGAATTTAATAAAGATGAATTTTTAAACTCTATCCAAATTTAATTTTTATTCCTCTTCGACAACATCTCTCTTTCCATCATTACTGCATAACCACATTTTCTCAATTTTAGTGGTTTGTTATTTTTAACATGTTCTTGCATCATTTTTATCATTTCCTCCCTTGTTATGATTCGTGGTAAATTTTGAGCTTGTGGGGTATTCATTTATGATAAAAATAAAAATTTGTTATCACTTATTTTATCGTTAAGTGACTCAAAGAGTCCGGAGACAAAGTCTCATGGTTTTTAGGTTATTCAATAATTAATTCATAACTACCTTCCTCCTGAACTGTTGTCAAAATGTCGTGTTGTCACACTTTTTCAGAGAAGTTAAATGACCTGGTAGCACATGGTAGCATGGTAGCACCTTCGGTTCTTCAATAATTAATTATTTTTTGAATAACTGGGAAATAAATTTACATCAAATATGTAATTTATAAAATCTTATGTCGACAGGCTACGTAGCACAGTGGTCTAAGGTGGTGTTATGGAGGGGTCAAGGTCTGTGGTTCGAACCGCGACAGCGCCGTATTTTCTCATTTTCTTTGTTTGTCTTGTTTGTCGTGAATAAAAAGTATCATAAAAGCTTTTGCTGTTTTTTCTCAGCCGAAATCAATGATTTTTTCATTTTTGGAATCCTTAGCGAATGAGGAATCTTTTCTCTCGTGGAAGCTTTGACCAAAAATAAATGGTTCATTTACTCACAATATTTTTGTACAAAACAACCCCAAACTTTTAACTTCTTTTCTGCAGCTTCAAATGCTATCTTAGCGAGTTCATATTCTCTAAATTCTCTCTTTAAATCTTCTTGTTCCCATTGGTCTAGTTCGTATGGAGAATCTCTATAACCATAACATATCTCACGTTCATGTTCTAATTGTTTTTCGCACATTTTTCCAACTTCTTCTTCAAACAAAGGTTTAGCATTTTCTACTGTATTTTCGAGTTCTTCTTCATCTAACTTCTCATGAACTTTCTTGTCTATGGAGTCCATAATATCTTTGACATAAAATGCATACTTTACAGAGCACCATTCAGCAACAAAATGAACGAGGTCAGCATGTATGTAAATACCTTTGAATTCATTCATAACGCCCTTAGTAAGCTCATAAAATGCTTGTTTTGAGGTTGAGCCACTTTTGGCTCGACCGTATTCTTTCAACCAAAACTCAAGAATTTCCTGCATTTTAGCACTATTGAGAAATCTGTTTAAATGGTTTAACTTTCCTGCTTCTCTTGCCATCTTTGTTGCATTAATGTAACCATCCTTGTCTCTACGTAAGACTTCAATACCGTTATAAGTGCCTTTTGTGAATGTTTCACCATTAGATTTGTTCGTGAATGTTTTTGCTTCGACTGACATTATTGTCTTTACATACAAAATAAAAAATAAATAAAAATAATTTTAAAACTAATGAAATTAATTATTTTTTGGACTGAATTCATTGAACTCTATACCATGCGAATACAGTCATAAATGGTGGCATGTAATCTTTACTTTGTCCCGTTGTTTGTGTATATCCTGAAACGCGATGTGTATGGTTTCCTTCTCCCTGAGTGTCACTCCAGTAACAATTTATGGCAAACTTAACGTTGTCTTTAACATCATATCCTTTACCTTTTGTCATTCCTGACCAATCCCAATATCTATGCTTATGCCAACCTGCTTGAGATGTGCTTAAATCTATGTAGTGACTGTGTGCAGGTAAATTTTCACCTGTAATCGTTTTACTTCCCCCTGTTTCCTTTGAAGAGTTTGCACAATACAAAAACCTGTCGACTATTTGTTCCCATGCACCAACACCAAACATTGCTTGAGGACCTCTCACATCCATAGATGTATAAATAGAACCTACTGGGTTCATTAAATCAAACATATGAGATATTATAGGATTGTCTCTTTTGAACTTAAAATATAGTGTAACTATTTCGGGTTTCTTCTGGTTTGTGTCAGAATATTTTTTATAATATAATCTTATGTTTTCAGGGTATGTAAAATCTTGACTATAATATTTATTTTTGTCATCTGTATAATAATATACTATTCTCGTTTTTTCTATTGCATTATATCTTTTATATCTATAATATTCTAAATATAATGTTTGCTTTTTTGGGTCTACACGTGCGTCAACACCATAGTCATAATAATACGGTGCTGGAGCTACGTTAGACAATGTCATATCCGTCATTTCATAAACTCTTAAATATTTCTTTTGTTCGTCTCCATATAAGTTTAAGTAGCAGTTGTTGTCTAATGGAACTTTAACTTGTGTGCCATTATTCTTTATAGCCTACATACATTTCATTGTTATTTTTCGGAATGAGTTTATACCGTATACCATTTCTTAAGGACTGTACAAACACCCATCTAAAATATTTATTTTCTTCATTGACAGAAAAGTCACCAACAATAGTTTCAATATTTTTTGTTCCTATCAAACTTTGGTATATTTCGTTAACATATTCCTTATCTGCCTTCTTATTTAACTCATCGTTAACATATTCCTTATCTGCCTTCTTTGCTAACTCATCGTTAACAAATGATATATCTGCTTTCTTTGCTAACTCATCGTTAACATATTCCTTATCTGCCTTCTTTGCTAACTCATCGTTAACAAATGATATATCTGCTTTCTTTGCTAACTCATCGTTAACATATTCCTTATCTGCCTTCTTATTTAACTCATCGTTAACATATTCCTTATCTGCCTTCTTATTTAACTCATCGTTAACATATTCCTTATCTGCCTTCTTATTTAACTCATCGTTAACATATTCCTTATCTGCCTTCTTCATTATGTCATTTAGGAAACCTTTTATGAATTCCTCATTTAAATTAAATCTTCCAATCTTCAAAACTTTAGGAAATGCATTTAATGCGTAATATCTTTGTTCTTCTGGTGGAATTGATGTTATATCATCCGTTATTCCTTTAATTTTTGAATTCATAAATAAAATTTCTTTTATATTTGATATCACTGCACCACCTTTGCAAACGAATTCAAAATGGTCATTTTTCAATACTATCTCCAAATCTCCATATTTCAACCTTTGCGTTTGTTCTGCCGTCTTTGAATTATATGCATATGTGGCGTATGTAATGGTCTGTGGTTGCTGTTGTTTAATCATTTATTACGATTTAAAAATAAATATTTAATCTGTTATCTCATCAGCTATTTTTTCTATTTGAAATTGCCATAATATTTCATTCATAAATTCTAAATCACAATCAAATAGGTTAGTTACTCTAAATTTAATATTTGATAAATCTTTTGAATGAAGAATAAATGAATTCCCGGATAATTGAAACGGATATGATAAAGAAAATATGTTTAAGTTGATGGATAAAATGTTTTGTATTGATGGGTAAGAGTTAGGGTCTAATGTTTGATGTGAAAATCTCATTGGGGTATTAACTTTATCACATTTGATTAAAATGAAATTAGAACCAGTGTCAGAATACAAAACATCCCCAACATCTTTTTCAAAATTTAATATCCCCAACAATGAACGAAGATGAGGAGTACAAAATTTAATTTTCAGCGGAAATTTAATAAGGTTATTTATTTCATCAAGTTCAAAAAGTTTATCAGGTTTTGATTTAAAATTTTCTTCATACCATACGATAAATGATTCATTTAAATAACTTAAAATTGTGTTAATATCCCATTTCGTTATCACATTATTTATATACATATCATACGTTTTTAGGTCTACGACCCCGCCGCTATGCGGCTCATGGTCATCTTTAATAAATGATATATAATCTGAAGGGTCTAAAAGAATGGGATTAAATTTACCACTCACAGAAACGAGAGTAACATTATAAATTCCGCTAACTGTTAAATTTAATTCACAGTTATTATTCGAAATAATATTGATAATTGACATTTTTTTATTACGATTAAAAATATGGTAAAGCGTTATTTTCCAGTGATAAATAAAACTAGAATAAGATTACCTCAAGAATTCATAAATTCAACGAATAAGAAATTCATTCATGTTATAAATTTTAGTGTTTTCAGAAAATATGAGTCAATGTCATATTCATCATCGGGTTATATTTCACTTCATTCAAATTTAGTTCAATCAAACCCATATAATGACCATTTCATAAGATTTTCAGATGGTATTAAAAATGCAATTGATAGATTAAAATATGAACAGATTGACAATATCGAATTTTTGGAATTTTGGTTTAAATATCCTGATGGAAAAAAGATTGAAGTTAAAGATAAAGCTGATACTATAACAAAAACAATTACAATGACCGATCCAGATAGTGGGGAACAAAAAGAAATAAAACAAACGATAGAAACTGGTGAAAGGTCAATTATTATCGATTATGATTCAAAGGATTATTATTCGATAATGTTAATGCTTGAATATTAAATAGCCTTAACAAAGAATTTTTCAAGTGATATTTTATATTCATCAACTATTTTATTATAAATATCATTATATGTTAAATGAAGTTCAGTTGTTGTTCCGTTCTTTGATATCTTAATTGTGCTAATATCCTTTATAGGATTTATTTTTGCAACTGTTCCGCAGCATGAAACCTCATCATCTATGAAAAATTGAATTTTAACGTCTGAATCTTGAACATCACAAAGAATGGCGATAATGTGAATTAATGATTCATAAGGTAAAATAATTAAACCGGATTGGTCAATTAAATTTATTATTGAATCATAATTATCAGTTATTATATCACGGTAAATTTTCATTAATTCAGAATTAATGTCTATTTTATATGGCGCATTGCGACTGGAATCGTAGATTCCTGGGTTATCAAGTGGTGCTGGGTATGTTGGATAAGTGGGAATTTCAACAGGTTCTTTACCAGGTTCAGATAAAATGATTGGGTCTCCATCTTCTTTATTTTGCTCTTCCTCATTCTTCGGTAAGTCACGAGTTAATAAATTTGGTTGAGTTGCTGACCTTGTTAATTCAGGACTAACATTAACTTTAACATTTTGAATAATTCGTGATTTATCATCATTTACGTTATAACCAACCGTAATCTCTGCTTTTGCGTTAGTGTTCTTTTGACTAGTGAAACGTCTTCTCATTTATATTCGAATAAAAAAATATATTTAAACTTTTATTTTGCTGGAACTTTTGAATCTATTATTTCCTGTATTTGTTCATGAAGTTGATTTTTAGCATTTTCATCGAAATTAATAGACCGAATATATTCATTAATTGCATTCTTATAATCATCTGATTTCTCAAATTTTCTTTTATCTGATTCCTTAACTAAATCATAAGTTAAACCTCGTTGCTGATATAATGGTTTCTTAATTAAATCTTTGAATGCTTGAGATAAAGCACCTGATGCAATTCTTGCTACTATAATTGGTTGGAATTGCTGTTTAAGTTCATCTTTAACATTTGCGAAAACTGGATCGAATAAAGCAACTTTAAAGAATTTCTTAGCTGGAATTTCAGTCTAAATTTGCATATTGACCATCAAACTGGTTAGAATATCGTGGTAATCCATCCGGTCCCTCTTCAATAGCATTTAATTCTTCATTGAAGTAAGAATATGGATTATGACGGTATGAATTAATTGGACCATTTTCACCTTCTCCAATGTATTGTTTAACAGCTTTTCCATTTTCATCAAATTGCATAGGATAATGTTCATTATATGCTTTACGTTTAGGATAATCCGTCATTGTTAATTTATACCCATTTATGACTTTAATATTTCCTTGACCATCAGTAACGAAAACTTCATTTATTCCATCAGGTTTTCCATTTGGACCCGTAATGTCTGCTTCGTGTGCTTCCCAATTTGGTCCGTGACGTTTGGCATATGCTTGAGCTTCTGGTAATGTTAAAACGTTTCTCATTTGTTTAACATCCTTTTGAAGACCGGCAACAATGTGGACTAATTCTTTCATTCCGTCTGGAACTTTCATAGTTCTATTATATGCACCCTTTTTGTTTGTTCCTTGTTTTAATGGAACCTGTAGAAGATTTGCTATTTCTGTCATGTTTAATTATAAATAAAAAATAAAAATTAATTATAAAAAGTTATTCGAATTTAATGGAACCTTTATTTAAATCAACTATTATTTTTCCATGTTCTCCTAATTGCTGATATTGTGTGTAAAGTTCATTAATGCTCATTGGTAAATTCACTTGATAAAGCAAACGTTCAACTGTTGACGACTAAAACCACTGAAAATGAAAAGGGTGGATAGTTTGATTTAATGTTTGTGCTTAATGCTTTGAAGTATTGAACAGCCATGAAGAATGAACACTGAATGTGTCGACATTGAGTTAATAATTGATTAAAATATGATTTCTCATTTGTTATTAGTTTTGATTTCACTGCATCATCTAGAAAAATGAGTGAATGCAAAAATTCTCTATCAAAATTTGAAATAGAAAGTGTTTCAAATAATTCATCTCGTTGTTTATCAATAATTTTATCCTCTAATCCTTGCTTCTTGATTGTATTATATAATTCTTTATACATTAAAAAGTTTTTTAAATAATCTTCTGCTTCTTCTTGTGATAAATAAATAATTGGAATTTTGATTAAATGCTTTAAAGATTCAAATGTATCATCTGAAGGTGAACCTGAACGGTTGATATAAATTAACACATGTGAATGGGGGAAGTGTTAGCAATAATGATAATTTGTTTTAATATCGTTAATGTTTTACCTTTATTTTGTTTACCAATTGCTGCAGTGATTGAATTTAAGTAACATTCAGAATATGGAATTTTCATTAATTTTTCCTTAGATAGAGCATTTCTATTATCACTCAATGCTTCATTAATCATATCATCTACGTATGTATTATATACTCCTGCTAATTCTTCATAAGGGGTGGATGAATTTAAATCCATTTAATCAAAAATAAATTTATAATTTTATACATTTCTATTCATCAATATTTCATCATATGAACTTCTATACTGCGGTGGTGTACCTGTTGGATGATATTTCAAACCTTCATCCGGTGTCCATGTCCAATATGTAGTCCTAGTAAACCAAACCTGAGGAGGATTTGTCACTTTGAACAGTAAGTGTCATTTTCACCCTGAATGATTGGATAAGCTTTCACTTGTACTGTAACTTGTGAGTTGAAAGTTTCTAATCCATCAAAGAATATACCCGCTCCATCACGTTGAACTGGAATAGTGCATAAGAATGAAGTTTGGTCTTTCCATGTTCTAGCTAATGGTGTGCCATATCATCATTCAGTGGTCTAGTTAATGAGTCCTCGTATTCTTCCGTGCATTCATTCACTCCATCTAAATCAGAAGCTTGAAGCATACGTGTAAAGAATATGTCACCCACTGTGGTCATCGCTTGATCGGGGAAGTTTCTGGAATCTATAGTGACCTGAAGACCTCGAAGCATTGGATTTTCTAAAACCGTTCTTTGCATTGCATTCTTCGGAAATGTTAACACAACATCTGTAACATTATGAAGAGCGTATGAGAAATCTGAGCTAATACCTTCAGGAGTGATGCAACCTCCATTTAGTGAACGAACGTCAATATGTTGAGCTGGAATCATGAATGGATCTTCCTTACTAAATAAACGTGGTATTGCTTTAACTGATTCTTCAATTAAACCGTATCCTGGTGTAATGCATTTATCCTCTAAAACTTCCATCTTTGTGCATGAAATAATAACGTCTTCAACTGTTGCGTCAGCAGATGTAGCGGCTAAGCTTGTAATTAATTTGGCAGGAAGTCCGATTTGTTGGAATTTGCGATCATATTTATAAACATGATTCATAATCTTTTCATAATTTTCATCAGTTATCTTTTCATAAACGTAATTTTGTAAATCAGCAACTCTTAACGGGTCAACCTGACAAAATACTAAAGTATCCCTGAAAACATAATATTTAAGAATGATTTCACCAAATGATTTAGGATAATCATCGAACGCCTGAAATGCTAACAAATCATTTACCGGAATAATCATATCAAAAGTGACATCAACTTCTTCATTTGCTTTCTTGAAAACTTCTGAAGGGTCAATATATTTACCACATACTGAGTTATCATATTTTTGAACATTATTATATAACGAATGAACAAACTTTTTAACTTTCCTTTCTGATTTTGGTTTATATGTTGCAAATGCGAAA